TTAACTTTTCCCTTTTTTCGGTAGCATGAATAACAACATTCACAGCCGATGCTACAGAAGCCAAAGTAACAGCAAATTTTCTTGGATCCTTGAGATACTCCTTCAATTTGTATGAAGGTGTATTCAGTGTCGATAGTAACATCAAGGACACTCTTATAGGCATCAATGAACATGTGAGGCGTCGCTACAAGAGTTGGGTAGGAGAGAGCCAAGGACAGCAAAGCAATCATAGAAACACCAGCTGCAAACTTGTCAATGAGACCATCGTCAATGAGGTTGAGCACCTCTGGGATGAAGACAGACAGATCCATTATCACAGATAGAGAGAACCACAAGCCCGTATGAGAAGGACCTCATCCCGAGTTTGGCAAGGAGGGTAACCACAGAGGAACCCACTTTGTCTCCTTTCTTGATCATCTCAACTGGGGCAATGATTTCAACAAGATTCTTATTAATTTTGGTTGGAATGTTAAACCATTTGAAAGAATGAGTCACGTGAAGGATCGAGCTTGATAATTTCAGCATTATTGACTATAGCCTGTCTGTACTCATCCAAGAGGCTGCACAGTTTCTTGTCATAAGCTAGTTTCTTCTCAGCTTTCATCACCTTGATGGCCATTGTTAGCTTCTCTTTATTTATTTGAAACTGTGTCGTAGCACTGGTCGTCGAAATGTTCATCTTGTGGTGTTAAAATGCACTAGTGGACTTTGTGCTTGAGCATTGAGACGCGGGGTGAACTCTACATTCAGAAGTTCAACCAACTCTAACACAAACGCAGAGGTCATATTTGGTAGGATTCTGGCCTAGAATCTCGTCTTGATTTGACAGCTCACAGCTATCTATAAATCGACTGTTGAGGTCAAATCAAGAGTCATTCGACTCTTCTCCATTCTTCTCCGAATTGTTCAACAAAGAATTTTGTTTTTATCATCGACGAATACTACTTATCTTCCTCATTAAGTGACATCAATAGCACCTAAGAAGAAGACCGTCTCTTGACCCACCAAGCCCAATGTCGCCGCAGCTTAGGGTTCACTGTCGGCTTCGTTCGTCGGTAGTGCTGTGACCCAGGCAGGCGTGTCGCCGCCTCAGTTTCCTTTAGTCGGTGGTAAGTGTGGTCTTCGTGGTCGTAAAACTTGCTACGACAAGTTCTGAACTTTGAATTAACGAGAAAACTCGTTTTAATGGCATAACGTAAAGGTGGGACTCTATCGTTTGGAGTTCAAAGCGTGGGGGTTTCGACCTCTATGTTTGAATTTGCCAATGCAGTGTTTGACCTCTGTATTTGAGTTTGCCAACATAGGGTTTGACCTCTATGTTTGAGTTAGGCCTATTTGATTCTGCTTTTGTACTAAGTGATTGCTCTTTTCATTTGCAGTGCGTTAAACTAATGAGCCTCTCCCTTTCCGCCATCTTTTTGGCCATGAAGGTGACGTAGACCTAAACATGACCTTCAATCTGCGTCAAGAGCTCCCTGGTTTTTTGTATTACTAATGAGGACCATGTTGAAGCGATCACTCAGGCTTCTTCTGGGACCCTTCGGACATTTGTCACAGATGTCAGATTTGAAAGTCTAAGTCGTAACCGTTTGTCAAACCAGCATTCCTCTTCGGGGACTTTGTCGATTTCGAAGCGGGTGTTGCTTATGATGGGGATTAAAAGTGGTTGATGAAGTTAGGGACCGTCACCTCTTCTTGCCCAATATGGAGAGGATGTACCCGATATCGTATTTCCAATGCGCTTCCATTCCAAGGTGTATGGATTGGGACCTTGTCAAGAAACAAGACGGAGTTGCCATTGGAGCCTCAACTTTTCAGGGCGTTCATACAGTAGGTTGTAACAGACAAGTGACAGCCTTAATACCACACTTGTTTACTAAAGAATACCCAGTTGGTGAAGTAGCCAGCTCGGCCAATACTTTTGTTAAGAGATTCATGGCGGTGAAAGGGGAGTTTCTTGCCCAAGTATTCAAATCTCCTGGTTGGGTGCATTCTTCGATAACGGGATGGTGGATCTGAATGACCAAGTTTATTTTGGAGGAGTTGGATACACCCCTTACCCAAGCTGGCCTGAAGATTACGGTGATGGCCACCAAATACAAGATTATCCAGAACCACTATCACTTCTTTTCTATCTTGGAGCGATACAACCCTGAGTCTTGCACTTTCTTTACGCTTGTAGGGGTGTTGGGTTTTGCTCTTCATGAGATGTATGACATCTCAGGTCTACCTTTTGGGGATTTACCCTACGAAGAGTTTATTCCGGGATCAGCAGAACTCAAAATTTTGAGAAAAACTAGCCCTGAAGTTTATTCAACTCTCTGGGAAGTCACATGCCACTTCCATATCTGTACCAACAGACAAGAGCTCAGGGAGGTGGTGTAAAACAAGTATCTTGGGTGGAGTACTTGTTCCAGAATTTGACCTAACAGGGAGCCCCCATGACCAGATTAATTGTGAGTACTCCGGAGGAGATCCAGGCCTGGATTGATGCTGCCACCTCTTATTATACAAATGAAGCCAAAGAGGACATTTTTCCTACTTACACAAAGTTTGAAAGTTTCCATTATCAAGCTCAGATCCTTATTTCAGATACGACACTGTTGACAGGATTTCTTATGTTATGGCTAAAGCGGTGTGTTGTCCCCACGAGGCCGATTGATGCTCTTGTTGTGGAGGTGATTTACCTGGCCGTTCTTTTGGTGCATGGAAAGCCACTGAACCTTCTTTCAGCCATGGTGCACTGTTTACAGAACGGGTTGTAGGAACTAGCCCTGGATTTTTTTCAAGTTACGGAGGTGGAGTTCGATGACGACAAGACTTTTAAAACTTGAAATCCTCGAGTGCCAATGCCTTATACTTACTTAATAGCATGGTACGTGTCCCATTGTCCCTCACTGATGAGTGCAGCCTCTTCCCAAGGCGACTTATTCATTCCCCTTGTACAACAGCTGGATTCAACAAAGTGGGAAGGGACTTACATGGTTAGGATCCGTTAGATTTTGTCGAGGGATACTAATTATCACATCTATCGTTGCTTTCCCAATTTTGAAGGTGAGGTGTTGAAAACACCCTAATGCCATTAGGAAAGAACCCTAGAGATGGGTGAACATGGTTTATGCTAATTTTAATACCTATTAAAATTAATTAACAAATATCCTAGCAAATTAGATATGCAACTCTTAATATGCAAGGATATGAAACTAAGGGTGGTATAAACACAAAGCAATATAAACAAGATAGTGGACAATATAAGCAAAGGACAATTGACAATAGCGACAAGAATGAAATGAACAATAAGCATAAGTAAGACGCCAAGGCAATCACAAACACACAAAGATGAACACGGAGTTCGGACCTTCCATCCTACGTCTCTGCTCCCCACTCTCGAGGAGAAATCCACTATCACACCGGGTTTTTAACGATCACCTGAAAACATTTACACCACACAATATCGATTTTCAACGTTCACCGATCAGCGTTTACAATCTGACAATATAACTACACAAATCCCACCTCAAGTGTTGGCCTCTCACGTGTCTCCCTCAAGTGTTAGGAATTACAACCTACCTCTAGGTATTACCACATCTCTCATCTCTACACTCCTCTTGGTGTATTTGTGCAATACAATGTGACCTTACAATTAGGCTCAATAATAAATGATTGTTCTCTAAATAAGGTGAGAACTCAATTAAGCTCGACTCAATGTTAGAAACTCACATCCCCAAATATACTATGTATGAAAATACTAAAAGCTCAATGTGAGTGTGTGTAACAAAGAGATAAATCAAAACTAAACTCAATGTAATTCTAGTAAATAGAAATTATAATCAAAATAAATAAATAGCTAGAAAAGAGTTTAGAAATTCTTCTCTAAAAATCAAGATGGAGAGATGGAGATTGAAGCTCAAAAAATAAAGATGATCTCCTCCACTTATGAAAACTTCTTCAGAAACCAAACAAACACTAAAACAAACTTAAACAAATTTTAAACCCTTATAAAACTTGTTTTAAACACTTCTTGATTACCTCAGAATGTTAGAGGGCAAGGGGTATATATAGGCTCATGAAACAACCCCAAAAACCAAGAGAAAACATCACAAAAAGACAAAATAACAGAAACTGAAAATTCTGGAAAACTAGCCATTATGATGCCGTCAGTCGACTGATATTGTTCATCAGACGACTGATGAGCTGACCGTTACAGGCCAGAAACACATCATCAGTCGACTGAAACAAAACAGAAAGTTTTTGTTATTCCAGGCGATTTCTTCAGTCGACTGAACACATTCATCAGTCGACTGATAACAGTGTATCAGCCTAATTTGAATAATAAAACTGATTTTTGAAGTGCCTTTAAAAAATAGCAAATAAATTCAAAAATTTATGAAACTTTGGAAAATGATTTTAGACATAATAATACACATGTTACAAAAACTGGTTTTCAAAAAGCACTTCTCAAATGAGAAATCTCTTTATTTTTCAAAATAGTCTAAAACATGAAAATGAACAACACTTGTTTTGTCATTTTGACTAAACCATGTTTTGAAACTTTATAAAATGATTATATAGACTTAATAAAATATGTATAGAATGATTGTTAAGTCCATAAACAAATAACTCATTATTTTCACAAATTTGTATTTATATAAACTTGAAAACCATGCATTATTAGCCGATGAACAGGAAGATACCTTTGTTTGGTTATTTGAAGAATGGCTGAAATGCATGCATGACATTGAACCATGTGCTATTATAACAGATCAGGATAGAGCAATGTGTAATGCTATTCACTTAGTGTTTCCAACGACAAGAGATCGTTATTGCTATTGGCACATGCAAAAGCATATTATTAATCATTTGCCTACTTTGGTATCTCGTTATGGTGAACAGTTTTAGAGGTATTGGGGCTTGTGGTGCAATAGTTCTTCAATTGAACAATGTGAAGGATATTGGGTTGAGATGAAAGCGAAGTTTGATATAAATGAAGAAGGGGAGGGATGGTTGCAAACAGTTCACAAATGCAGAGAACACTGGGTGTCGTGTTATCTGAGGACACCTTTTTTACTGGAATGAGATCGAGCCAAAGGAGTAAAAGTATTAATGCATTTTTTTATGGGTATGTTAACTCACAGACTCAATTACACGAGTTTGTGACACAATATGAAAAAGCAGTAACTCATCGTCGCTTAAGTGAAGCCCATGAAGATTTTAAGAGTCTGAACACAAAGCCGGTCATGCTCCTTGGACATCCAATTGAGGTCCAAGCTGGAGAAATGTATACACGCAATATGTTTGATGTGTTCCATACTGAATTCAAAGGATTTGGTACAAAGTTCTATGAAGAATTGAGAAAAGATGGGGACATTGTTGAATACAAGGTCTGTAAGTTTACAGATAGAGGAAAATGGGAGGTGGTTACTTATGAACAATCCAGTCAGATGCAGTTCTGTTGCACTTGTGCTTTGTTTGAAACTAATGGTGTTGTATGTAGACATATATTATCGCTAATGATTGCTAGGCAAATGGATTCATTACCCAACTAGTACATCCTACACCGTTGGACCATACATGCAAGGCATCGTAACATTGGGGTTGGCAACATCGTATTTGGAAGAAACATCACCAGGTGTGAAGAGAAGATTAATTTATTGAAATCTTGGGCTTTAAGAGCGAAATTCAATAATGTGCTCGAGCTTGCATTTGATTCAGAAGAGAAGCTGCAACAACTTGATGATGTGCTAACAAATTTCATGGAATCACTTGAAGAAGAAGTTGGAGAAACTCAAGATCAAATGATGGATATTCCTCAACCTTCCGCACCCATTTCACATACAATAGAGAACATTCCTCAGATAACAGTTCGTGATCCTGATAGACCTGCAAGGACTAAAGGTCGTCCACGCAATGCTACTAGAATCCAGTCAGGTTTAGAACAGGCACAAGAAAAGAAAGAAAGGAAGAAACGCATATGTAGCAGATGTGGTGAACTCGGGCATTATAGAACTAGCTATAAAGTTAACTTGCAAAGGTACCATTTTCGTTTCTATTCAGTTTTAGCCCTATATAAGTTTATGAAACTTGATAGCACAAAGTCATATCTCATGATTAATTTGTCATATAATTTGCAGCTAAACATATGCACGGGTGCTGGATGTGTTGGTTTGTTCACAAAGTCATATCTCATTATTAATGTACGTATGATTGCTTGCATTTTTGTGTATCAATCTTTAACAGCGCTTTATTTACTCTGTTTTTAACTGTTAACAAATGATTTATTTGATTGTGGATGTGTTTCTCTTACAGCGCTACCACTAACACAGGAAAGAGCACAATCAGCTCAGGTTCATCCACAACTCTAACTTGGCCCCTCAAGCAATCCATGAGCAGAACTGATTCAAGTGATGCGCATTTTGTACAAGACCTCTCATTACTATATTTTATGTATTAAGACTGATTGTGTTAAGACTGATTCTGTTTTGTTGATGGGTAACAGTACGTTTAAGGTGCAAATAATTTTGTGGATGCTGATTTTGTCTCGTAGCTGCAGGTTGTGTCTTGTAGCTGCAGGTTTTATTTACAGGGGGTAAAAGGTGCATTTTATTTACAGGTTGTGTCTCGATGCTGATTGTGCATTTTATTTACAGGGGGTAAAAGGTGCATTTTATGTATTAAGACCTATCAAATCTTGTGAGAACCTCATTGTACTGATGGACCTTACTAACCACCTCTCAGGTTTTAATTTTGTGAATAGACTCCTGCCTGAATTCTTTCTGACTCTTTTGCACTCGGAAAGTCTTTCTGACTCTTTCATCCACTAACAACAATGCCTGAATTCTTTCTGACTCTTTCATCCACTATAAACAAGTCACAAAAATTCAATCCGGAGGTCCACTGCAAAAAGTAAGTGATGAATACAGGTGATGAATACCTCATAAAACAAAATATGTACTTACAGGTGAAAAAGTGAAACAAAAGTAAGTGATGAATACAGGTGAAAAAGTGAAACAACATTCACTGTCTTTTGTGTTTCCCTCGGTTCAATTACAAGCATGTTTCCAGTTGGAAAAAATATATACTCACAACTTCAATATTCATTTCCACTAACCTATGCATAACAACAACTCAATAACACCAGATACACAATATGTACTTACAAGATACTTAATTTCTCACAATCACACCAGATACATAAGTTCTCACAATCACATAAGTTCTCACAAGATACATAAGTTCTCACAATCTCACAGTCACATAAGTTACTCGATACATAAGTTCTCACAATCACATAATTTTTGCAATATAGAAAAAAATAAATACGAAAACGATACATATTACAAACACTAATATTATAAACACTGAACCTAATGCAAAAGCATAGATAGGGGAAATAGTAGTTCTTGAGCTCGATGCAGAATCAGGTGTCGAGACATAAAAAGGTGTTTGGACATGTCTTGAGTTGGATGCTGAATAACAAGCGATGCTGTGTTTATCCCATTTAACCAAAGCCTCTTCATACGTTGCATACCCTTTATATGCAGCATTTGGATATTTATCAACTTGCTTTTTACAGTCCTCCCAATTATTAAAAATTCCACATCGTCGACCTCTCTTCACAATGTAAAAACTCTTTCTTGCCATGGACCACCTAAAAAATTGTGGTTTAAAAAGAAATCACAGTAATAACTCTCTTAATTTCTTTGTTGTAGTGGCAGATTCAATTAACTTCTCTTTCACTCGCACAATCACAAATTGTAAAAATCACAGTTTACATTAATAATTTACATAGAGTAACAATAAGTTGTGCATAACTAAATGAGATCAAATGAAACCTATGATTATCAACTTCTAGAATAATTGACCTGACATTTTTCATTTGTTTTAACCATATCACCATCTGAGCTAACTCATGGAAACTGCAATATTTCATTATTCAAGCATAGAAAAAAGAAATAAAGGAATCCATCCAAATTCCAATAAACACCCAGCAAATCTTCGATAAGATTCAGCTAAATCACCGAAAATGCAGCAATTATACTCAAATTTGTGTTTCTTCCCATGACCCACCAAATGATCTCTCGCAGAACGAGAAAGATCTAAAAACCCCTAACTCAGCTCCAGATTATCAAAAGAAAAAGATTCAAAATCGGACCCCTCAACCAGCCAAAATTCCCCTAAACCCCAATCTAATTCATCAGAAAAGACGACCAGATCCAAAATTTTAAAAAGAAAAAGGAGAGAGAGCGAAAACAAAAGATCAGATGATTCCTACAGTCCAGATGTCGGCGGGGACGAGGATGATGATGGAGAGCGAGCAGAACCAAGCGTATCCGACCGTAAAGAGTACGTATTTGGGTACGTAGGGGCCGGCGAAGTACCGGCCGGAGAAGTACCGTAGCGTGATCAGAACCATGCCCAGGGTTAGAGGCAGCGAGATCAAATAGAAAACCCACATCCCCAGGGTTAGAGGCAGCGAGATCATATAACAGTCATAGCTTCTAGAATAATTGACCTGAGATTTTTTATTTGTTTTAACCATATCACCATATCACCATCTTATCGGAGATCAAATGAAACCTATGATTAATAAGTTCACAAACTAAGCAAGACCCACAAATCCAAACTTTTATGCTAAATTAATAACCAATGACTGTTATATGATCATTTTGGAGGTAAAAAAAAGCTAAATTAGCAAAAATAGGCAATCAAAGAACGGGGATTTCACCTGAGAACCGATTCAAAGAGAGTGGTCGGTGCTCGCGTCAGAGGAGTCGAGAGGAGCTGTCCAGATCTCGTGGTCGAAGGAGCTGTCCAGATCGTGGTCACGGCGGTTTCGTGGTCGGCGGTTTCGTGGTCGAGAGGAGCGGCAAATCTCGTGGTCGAAGGAGCTGTCCAGATCTCTTGGTCGGCGGTTTCGTGGTCAAATCGGTGGGAGATGGGATTGAAGGGGTTGATCGCTGGGAGAGAGCTGGGGGATTAAAGGGGGGAGATGGGATAATCGCTGGGGAGAGAGCTGGGAGATCGTGATTTGGGGCTGAGGCGATTTGGGGCTGAGCGATTTGGGGGAGAGAGCTATCCAGATCTCTTTTTTGGGTCACGAGATTGCTTTTGTGCGGAAGAGACGGGGAAATTTTTCAAAAAAAATCCCTGCAGCGCACAAAAAACGTGAGCTGCCAGCGTACCCACAGTATTCTCATATATATATATATATATATATTTATATATATATATATATATACCAAAACATGTATGTGTGTATATGATTGAGCTTGAAGTATTTAGCACATATAATATAAAATCAAAACTATTTACCCAAGCAATGATCTTGATCTTCAATAAGCTCTTCTTGGTAAACTTGCGGATGAAGCTTGAACTTGGATCTTCAACTTGAATTGTATTGCTTCATACCGATATTCCGCCAACCTCCATTGGATATGATCGTTGAAGCACAATTCCATCCAACCTCCAACATGTTGTTTGCCTAGAATAAATATAAAAACACAAACACTAGACAAATAACATTAGTAGTAAATTGTTTGTTAAACATCATTAAAACAAAAAGGCCAACAGTTGTATGGAGCGACGTTCCAGGATGTGGCAGGTCCTAATAGATTCACTCAGCTAAATGTTGGTATTTTTCATTGGCTGCTCTACATCAAGCCATGCTACTTGATTTTTCAACAGGGTGAGAAATGTTTTATTGAGCCTTATCAACCATATAGATTCGCCGGTCAATTTGGATATGACCAGCTATACGTTGGGAATCCCCGACCTCAACTTGCGGTTGTGGGCAATCTATATGAGGGGGCCAGGGCCTGATACTATTCTATGGCCGGTTATACTAAGGTCATCTTCAAGCTCCCCCATAAGACACCTAATTATTACACTTCCATGGGCTTCTGCAACTGGTATTCAACTGCCTCTCAGAATTCTGACTATAATTTGAATACATCTTGTCTGAAGGAAATCAGACGTATGTATGCTTCTAGGAAGGGGTCCAACATGTCTCGTCCAAGAGGAATTGATGAGTACTTATGCTTTGAAGATAACGCTGCTGAGAAAGGGGGAGATAAAATAGCTAAAACCGTTCAAATAGGAGATCCCCCAATAGCTGATATTCCTACAGCAAGAACTACTGGGAAAAGAGCTCTTATAGCAGATGAAATTGGCCAGTACGATAAATGAACTCGCCAAAAGTTAATGGTTGAGTCTTCTCCTATTAAAGGCCAACAAAAACCAAAATTAATGGCCAATGCTTTCAAGTCTATAGAAGAAGAGGAACCTATTTTTGTGTGCAGGCCTTCCACACAGAACTAGACTTCGCTCAAGTGGTCTAGCCCTGTCGAGTGAAGTTTCCTCTTACCATACACCATTCCACCTGAAGAAAGGGAGGATGAGTTAATGGCTATAGATGCAGAATCTACTCCGGCAGTGGGCTCCCCTAAGGCTCTTGTATCAGAACCAAGGGGTCATGAAGAGAATCAATCTCCCCCTCCTTCCGCACAAATGCTACAGGTTGGAGATCTAAGGCCTAGTCTGACAACGGGACTCATGGTTAAACCAGTTACAATCACAAGTCTACCTGGGTCTTCATCTGTGTGAGATGATAAGGAAGAGGTGGATTATGAAGCCTCCTCGACCATGATGCAGTTAGTGGCGATAAAGATGATGAAGGCACTGATGTTGATGATAATATAGGTGGTGATGAGGAGGATGAAGAACATGATTCTATGGATGACATCACTAATTTTGATGATTCCTCTAATATCGCGTCAGATAAGGCGTCTACTCATATTCTTTTTTCTATCACCAATAAGCCTGGTTTATTTTGAATTCCCCTGTACCTTCCTTCTGTGTTTCGACCATTTTTGTGTGCAGGTTCACCCACGCTCGAGACTACTGCTGTAACTCCTCTCCCAGTGTAACAACTTGTGCAGGTGTCGACTCCTTTACAAGAACAACATTTGTCTAGCTTGTCGATGACAACTACCCCACCGATGATATTGATGAAGATCTCGCTTGCACCAACAAGGGCTATCAGTTGGGGATTTTAGAAAAGTTTTAAACCGTTAGGGATTTTATATGAACACTTGTTATTATTATGCAGAAAAATTAACAGGTTAAAAAGGGAGTTG